AACGAACAAGTGAAAATAATAAGCAATGGCGGTTATCAAATGACGATGATTGCTAGCAATAGTTATTGACATTACTGTTGAGGACATGGAGATGTGCCGTCAAGAAGTCCTTTGAAGCCATTACCGTTAACAACCTTTTCCACTTGGGAACGCCATAGCGGGTAAGTGTCCACAACGAGGGAGTTGAGAATCAAATTATTGATATTATTCATCAAGAACTTGATTTGGGGAGGAATGGTGATCGAAACGAAAGGAGAGTTCAAATCAACCTTAGGAGTGGAGGTGATTAATGAGCCAGCTATGAAAGCGAATGATCAAAAACAGAGAGAAGGAGAAGAAGAAGAAAAAAAAAACTAAACTTGACAAAAAAGCTCTAATACCATGTTTACATGTGATGCTTTGAAGCAGTAGGGAGACGTTGAAGAACAGAAAGATTAAACGAGAAAAGGAAAGATAATTTTGTATGCATTGCTTTGTGCAACAAGTATATAGGAGTATATATATAATTTTTGCAAAGAACTTTCGTACATACCTTTAATAGAAAATGATAGTTGTACAAGACTACATAATAAATATTTATTTCCTTATGCTTATCCGTTAACAATAATAACATGAATCATTCTTCTTTCTCAAGAATAAATAACCCTAATGATAAGATAATAGACTCGCCTCTATTTACAATCTTTACGAAGAGAGCTTTTACGTGTAGTCATCAGACCGTCCGGATGTCAATCAAGACACGTCGTATCTCCGATACACAAATGCACACCGTAACAGTACACAACAGATGATATATCGTGTCCTGATTGATCTCCAGACGACAATCGATGACCGCACGTAATAATTTCGCGTATGACGAACTACTAATCTTTTCAACCGAACAAATCTCTAATTCCAAAATTTAGTGTCAATCATGAGAGGTCATCTTTGATGTGATGATCATGCTAAAATGTTAACCATGAGTATTTCCTCGAAGAATATTGTTAATTCCTATTGTATTCTTATTTTTCATTTGTATACTATTTTTCCTATCAGCTTTTGTACTTTTTAGTATTTAAGAGAGCTTATAAATATTGATAAAAAAATATTATAATATAATAAGAGCATAATATTAATATTATATATTTTTTTCGTCATATTTTGTGATTTATATATGCGAATAAACAAAATACACTCATTGATCATGTATATACCTCTAATTTTTGCTGATTTGACTCTCCAGCACATAGTTGATTACATCCTGCAGTCCCTTCCATGAAGACCCTCCTTTCTCCATCGCCATCCTCGCCTTCTGTTTGAGCTCTCTCGCCCTCTCCCTCCTCTCATTCCCTTCATCTCCTCCCTCCATTAACATCTCCACCACCTTCTCAACCTCGCCCCTCCTTACTTTCACCACCGCCTCACCATCATTCTCTACCCCAAACATGGTCGGCTTCTCCACACCAACTGCTACACCGATCTTAAGCTCGTCCACCACTAATCGCTCATTAAAAAATTGGTCGCCAAAGTGCGGCCATGTTGCCATCACCACCCCCGCCGCGATCGCCTCCAGCGTCGAATTCCACCCGCAATGCGTCACGAATCCCCCCACCGCTACGTGATTCAAAATCATTGTCTGAGGTGCCCACCCTTTTATTACTATTCCCTTCCCCGCCACCCTCTTCTCAAACTCCGTCATCCATTCCCCAAGCCCTGAAACCCTCCCCTCCGCCGCCGCCTCCTTCACCACCCAAACAAAAGGCCAGACCGAGGCTTCTAGCCCGTGGCCAATCTCCACAATCTGCTCCATCGTATTGTGTGCAATGCTCCCGAAGCTAACGAGCACCACTGAACCGGGTTCCTTCCCGTCCAGCCATTGAAGGAGGAACTTGTTATCAATAGATGAAACCCGCCCGCGCACCGCCTTGGCGTCGTCCTCCTCGCTATAGAGCGAGAGCGGTCCGACAGACCAGATTGGTTTACATATTTCCTCGTGGTACCTTTCTATGTACCACGACTCGAGCTCGACAAAGCTGTTGATGATTATGCCTTCGGAAGTCTCTTCTATTTCCGTCATGGTTTGTATAAATTTGAGCCAGCCAGGATCTGAGCGCAAGGTCAACATCAGCTCATGCTTGCTGATTCGAATGGGCCGCGTTAGGCCTGGAAGTATGATGGGGCCGCCCGATGCCGCCTCCATGGCAGCCTCAAGCTCGACCACATGTCGATTAATGAGCAGATCGCATAAGAGGAAGAAGCACGACGGGCCTTGGAAGATGAGGCGAGGGATGTCGAGAGCGCGGGCAAAGTCGATAGTCCAATTTTGAATGTTGTCGGAGATAAGGCAAGCAGGTCGGGGCCATTGGAATGGGTCTGGAGCTTGAAGGTGGGCCTCGAGTGGTTCACGAAGGAGGTGGAGGGAATTCAAGAAAGGAAATAAGAGATCCATGGAGGGGAGGAGGTCGATGTTCTCGCATCCATCGGGGAGGCCGGCATCAGCAACGCAGAAGCTAAGTTCAATGAAGCGGATCTGGAGGGTGGAGGAGGCGGCGGCGGCGGCCCGTTCAACGATGGGCTGGATGCGAGTCAAGTTAATCGGGGTGGTGGCGAAGGTGACAAGGTTGCCACGGGCAGCAAGGAGGCGCGCTAGATCGACCATAGGGATCATATGGCCCTGAGCCAAGAGTGGAACGAGAAGAAAGTGGAGGGGCTTTGTGTTCGGCCTGCGATCTTCATTATTTTCAAAGCTCATGGTGCTGAGGGAAATATGGTAGTTCGGTGCTAGTTCGTTTTGAGGGAATTGAAGAGGAGCAGCTAAACTTTATAGCCAAAAGGAACTGAGCTTTTTGTCAAAATATTGAAAATGACTATTACCAACTTTCAATATTAATTACAAAGGTGCGATTAAGGGTCCTTCTGCAATATAAAAGAAATGCATTCTATTTAAAGTACTTTAAAATATATAAATTGTAGTAAAATGAATGAAGTGTAAAAATAGTTGGTGGTCGGTAGCATAAACGATGGTGGCCTATAGCTGCGGTTGATAATGAGGGGTGTGAGCAGGCGGAAGTGGTGTTTGATGGCGGGCAGCGAACGGATACTTGTGGGGGTGGCAGTCGGCTGCACTTGTGACGGTGGCGACTTAAGGCATATAATGGAAGAAACCAGCAGCCATATGTGCTAGTGATGCTCGGCAGTGCATGGTGTTGGTAATTGGATGTTGGTAGTTACAGCGATGACATGCAGTGGTATTGATGTTGAATTCATAATGTATTTGAAAATCTTCTAACTCGAATGAGTTCTAAATATATCGAAGTTACATTAAATGGTGCATTCTAATTAAATACACTAAAATTCTACGCTATTTGTTTTATTTCAAATCAAACGTCAATATTTTCAAAACTCCTACATTTATTTTACTTCAAATCAAATAGCTGTCAAATGATTGAAGGCTTTTTTTTTTTTTTTTAGGTAAGTTAAAAAAAAAAATTTGGGGTAAAATGGAGGCTTTCATCCTTTGCTCTCAGGCTTAATTCAAATATATTAATCAGCTAATTCTAGCTAGTACTTTTTTTATACAAACTAAGAAAAACAACTAATATTCTATGAAGAGATTTGAAGAATAGTCCGCCTTGATCTATCTTCATGAATGTTGAGTGGATGAAAAGTACTTACAGAACTTCTGCAACTTTGATTAACATATTCTTAGAAATTTCAATAAAGCCGGGCGACCTTGAGAGTTGCTGATGTATGGTGGAATATGAAGAATGGACTTCATGAAATTGAATGATTTGTTTTTTGAGTTAATTAAAAATATTATTTTTTTATAAAGCATAAGAAATTAAATGAAATGATTGTAATTGCATTGAATTTAATTTTAATTCGATCAGTTCTGTTTATTTTGAGATGAGTCGAAAATTGAAATTAATTCCATTTTAAAATGAATATAATTATCACAATTTAAGTAATATTATTGCGAAGAATATCAAATAATTTTGCTAATATTTTTTATTTTGATTTTTACATGATATGAACTTTCTGTACTCGATTATAGGAATGCATCAAATAATTTTGGTAATATTTTTTTATTTTAATTTTGTTAATACTCAATCATTCATATTCTAGGTGATATTTTTTTTAGTTCTTTTTGTTAATTATGTTACTATATGATCTATTTATTTTTCACCAAAAAATATTTTTATCGGAGAAACTTTAAGTGTCAAAATACAAAGCAATAATTCAATGAGAAAATATTGACAATAAATTTCAAAAAAATTAGCAACTAAATTTGCTATTATGTACCATTCTCATTAATAGCTATGAGTTTAATAAACTTTAGAATTTAGGCTATGAATTATGATGATTTTAATCATCTTTTGAACAAATAAATGGATAAATATATATTATTGAACAATATGTAGTCATGGCAAAGGTCAAAATTCTCATCTCTCGTAGGAGCTATGTTTAACTTTTTCGTGCACGTGAGAGATTTTCGTTTAATACTACGACGATAAATTCTTCCTCTACCTCTATGAATAGGATAATTAGATTTTGTTTGTAGATAAAAAGTTTATGAGAAGTTTTATATTAGCATCCTTGGTATGATTAAAATTAGGTAGCTATTTTCCTCTTTTAATAATTGATGTTACATAGAAGCTATAGAAAGACGCAACACACTAAAAAGGCATTTCTATCACAACATTATTTTCTAAAGTTGTTATAACATTCTCAAAGATATTTGTAAGTCTTCATCTTCATATTATAAAACTTTTTTATTGTTGTCTGAAGCAATATTTTAGTAAAAAAAATTTTATGCTATAAAGTTGTTTTAGCAGTCAATCCTCTGCTACAAAATTTATTTCGAGAGAGACTCACAAAGCTACCTTTTCTATCTCGAAGAAAAATGAAAGTGCTTTTTAACATATACACAAATTATTTTCCTACATGAACACTCTTTTTCTTATAGAATTAATTACATAAATTTATGAACAAATAAAATAAAATACATCATGAGGATCTTGTGGCCCTTTGCTTCTAGAAGATTGCAGTCTTCATGAACTTCGAATTTCTAAATTTAATCAAACAATTTAAAATTACTATTATCACTTTTGAATATTATAAAAAGGTAAGATTAAGGCGGACAATTTTTCATTGAAATATTTTTTTAATACAAAAATTTTTAATTCAAAAAAATTTTAAACAAATATTATGCTTTAAAAAGCTTTCGCAAACGAAACCTAAATGGTTGCAGGCTTTACATTTTGTTATTGGGACTAAATTTGAACCTATTAATCTACTAAATTTTAATAAATTATTCTTCAATGCACGCCTAAAAAAGCAAACCCGAGTGATCTAATTAATTAACTTATCATTATTAAATTGATTTAGTATAATTTAGAATCTTTTTGGGATGGCTATAATTTCTTGTAAAATT